GCGGTGAGCCGAGATCGCGCCATTGCACTCCAGCCTGGGTAACAAGAGCGAAACTCCGTCTCAAAAATAAATAAATAAATAAATAAATAAATGATCCATGGTGGAGAGAAAAGAAGGATGGGGAAAATCCCGTGTGCTGCTCCCCCTGGGGATGATGTCTGAAGTCCTCCCCACCATGGGCCCACCATTCCCATCTCACAGATTCTGAGAAGTATTTTAATTTTTTTGCAGAGATGGGGGTCTCACTATGTTGTTCAGGCTGGCCTCAAATTCCAGGGCTCAAGCTACCCTCCTATCTGGGCATCCCAACATGCTGGGCTGTAGGTGGGAGCCACTGTGCCCAGCCAGCCCTGATTCTGTTCATCAGAACCTGCCCTCAGTGAACAATTTGGGAATAGGCATTTGATCCAGGCTCTGCCAACCGAAGGCAACCTTGAGACTTGGCTAGAGTGATGAGGAATTTTAGGAGGCGCCCACTGAGCCACTGGGTTGAGTGTGGGTTCCCTGGAAGCGTAATAGGGGAGGCTGGTGAGGAGAGAGGCCATCAGAGAAGAAAGGAGAAGCCAGAAGCAGACACCAGACATTGTTCAGGCAGCTGGATCACACCACACCTGAAGGCGGCCATCCCTGAGCTTTCTATACATTTTCGTGATTCCAGCTCCACCCAGTTTGTCTTGGTTTCCCTGTCCCTTGTAGCCAGTCTTCCCAGCTGCCTGTGCGTTTGCCTTTCCAACATTCTGCTCGTCCGGGCGTCAAGCCCCGGAGGCCACAGGGACAGAGACAAGAGTGTCAAGTGACCTTCCTCCCACACCCATCAGAGCTTCTCTCCAGTTTGGAGGAGGAGGAGGAGAAGGGAGGGGTGGGAGGATGAGGAAGTGGGTTGTTTACACACTGGCTTCCAACTAGGATTGTGAAACAAGCAGGAGGGACTCCGGGTCTGGGGAAGTTGGGGCTGGGGGGCTGGGGTGGGTGCAGCCCCCCTCTCTGCTTCCTGCCCATCTGAGGGACTGCCCCCCACCAGGGCCAGCAGGCCAGCAGGTTCACGGAGGCCGGAGGGTCTCCCAGCAACCTGTTGCCTCTGGTGTGAGTCTGGTAGGAGGTAACCCAGCCCCCAGGAGGGTGGAGGCTGGGAGGGCGGGTCCCCCTTTCTCCAGCTGGACCACTGCCCACCTGACAGTCAGGGCTCCCGGGAGCCTCCCGCCCCCACCGCCGTCATAAAAGCACCCCCAGGGCCCCGCCTGGGTCAGTGTGTCCACCACAGCGGCTTCACCATGCACAGCTGGGGGCGCCTGGCAGTTCTGGTCCTCCTAGGAGTGGTGGCCTGTGGTAAGGGGTCCTGGGCCTGGAGTGAGGGGCGGGGGTGTCCCAGGTGGCCCTCTCGGTCACACAGACCGTCCTCCAGCCCCACCAGGTAGGCAGGAAGAGAGGGGTGTCATTCTTCACCAATGAAAGGCTCTGAAAGCCGAGGAATTCTAGAAACTTTGGTTTGGAAATTGGAGCTTTCTGGGATCAGCTTTTCTTGCAGAGAGAATCTGAGTGTCTGCGTGGAAAACTGTTCTTCCGTGCGGCTGGCTGAGCTGCCCCGGGCACCGTAGGTAACCCGCTATCTGGGCACCAAGGAAGGAGAGCTGAGTAGATCCCGGGCACAATTAGTGCCTGAAGAATATATATAAAAGGAAGTAACTGAGCAGGCCGGGCGCGGTGGCTCACACCTGTAATCCAAGCACTTTGGAGGCCAAGGTGGGCGGATCACCTGAGGTTGGGAGTTCAAGACCAGCCTGACCAACATGGTGAAACCCCGTTTAAAAAAATAATAAAAGGAAGTAACTGAGTAATAAGATATTCTTCAGGCACGAATTGTTCCGACTATAAACTAATACATGATTTTATATATGTAAAGGATTACATGAAGGAAATAACTGAGTAATAACACTATAAGACATTCTTCAGGCACTACCGTGTGCCGGGAACTGCTTAGCTCTCCTTCCTTGGTGCCCAGATGGGGGGTTACCCACAGGGCACTGGTTGGGTCAGCCCTGTTTCTGTTATGTCCAGTTGGAAGCCATTGTACCCAGGGTGGAGAGCTGGGATCTGTCCCTGGTCCCCGGCCCACTGTGGCCTCTGTCCTCCCGGGCGTTCTGGCCCCCGGGGCATCTGAGTCTGTGGCGCTGAGGAGCCCCAAGATGCAGATGGGATTCTTTTTTTTTTGAGACAGAGTCTGTCTTGCTCTGTTGCCCAGCCTGGACTACAAAGGCACCATCTGGGCTCACTGCAACCTCGGCCTCCCGGGTTCAAGCCATTCTCTTGCCTCATCCTCCAGAGTAGCTGGGATGACAGGCACCCGCCACCACGCCCAGCTAACGTTTTGTGTTTTTAATAGAATCGGGGTTTCATCATGTTGGCCAGGCTGGTCTCGAACCGCTGACCTCGTGATCCGCCTCGGCCTCCCAAAATGCTGGGGTTACAGGCACGAATCACCACGCCCCGAGATGAGATTCTTGCCGGGAGCGGCCTGCGGGGTGAGGGCCAGGATTGGCCTTGCCGCGGGGAGCAGTCGACCCCGCGGCCCTCACGCGTCCCCCGACCCACAGCGGCGCAGCCCCGCGGTCGGATCCTGGGCGGCAGCGAGGCCGTGGCCCACGGGCGGCCCTACATGGCGTCGGTGCAGGTGAACGGCGTGCACCGGTGCGGCGGCGTCCTGGTGGCGGAGCAGTGGGTGCTGAGCGCGGCGCACTGCCTGGAGGACGCGTGAGTGTGGGCGCGCGCGCAGGGAGGAGCCCCGGGGGGAGGTGGGGCGACTCGGCTGGCACCGACCGCGGACCCCGACCGTCCCCAGGGCCAACGAGAAGGTGCAGGTGCTCCTGGGCGCGCACTCCCTGTCACAGCCGGAGCCCTCCAAGCGCCTGTACGACGTGGTCCGCGCAGTGCCCCACCCGGACAGCCGGCCCGGCTCCATCGACCACGACCTCCTCCTGCTGCAGGTCCGCCCGGCCCCGCCTGTACTCGCGCCCCGGGTCTAGCCTCGATGTCTCCTGCCCTGCTGGGACCCCCGCCCCAGCCTCACTCCACCCCGCCTGCATCCCCACCCTGGGTCCAGATCGACCCCTCCAGCTGCATGGGGACCCCGCCCCGCCCCC